ATAGAGCTACATTTATACATTTTATGTAAACATCTTCATTTTGAACATAAACATACATCAAAATGTTACATTATTATTTCTGGCAGGTAGGATAATAAGCAGTTTTTATTTTTTTCTTTAGACTTTCATATATTTCCCTATATGTAGGGATTAATCACATCACATCAGGAGTCATATAATGTCAGGTTTTTTTTCAGTGTTAGTGATGCTAAGTATAGTCATCTGGTTAAAGGGGAATCCTCCAACCACTGTAAAGGTACCTTTTCCCCTTTGTAATTGCTAAATAATCCTTAGGGTGATGCCGCTAAAGAGCACACAAATATCCTGTTCCCAACAATCTTTTGCTCTACAGAAATAGCATCCATTAATGATTACACAAAGGTTATGTCCTTACTTATTAGCTGACACCCTTCTGCAAAGAAGAGCTTCCTTTTCCCACTTTTTAATATTACTATGGACTCTTGGGTTTGTTATTATTACTATTATTATTACTCAAGGTATTACAATCCATTGCTCTTATTCTTCTTAATGTTGGAATTGTCCCAAAGGTGGCCAGTGGGTTGCCCTTCAAGCCATTCACCGGGTCTCCATCATTCTCTGTGCACTTTCTTACTTTCTGTAACAATTCTCCTTGCCCCGCATGTGGATCTGGCCATCTCTACAGGAAGCCCTGGCTCCTCCGATGGATGGTGAGTGGCACATTGTTACTAAGTATCATTGCTTCTAGGCCCTTTCAGTGAACAGAGCCAGGAAATTGGGAAATGTGTGTGTGTGTGTGTGTGTGTGTGTGTGTGTGTGTGTGTGTGTGTGTAAATCATGAGTTCATACTGGTACCTCCAATTCTAATTCAAACATCACGTAATTCTTTGTCTTTTCCCCACTTGGTATTTGTATCCCCCTACTCCCAGGTGATGACGGTTTCCAACCCCAGTATGATTACTGACTTGTTCTAGCCTACACTACAGCCCCAAGTTCCAGATCACTAACCAATCCAGTGCTGGTATTGAAATGGTGCTATTAACACTATTTCAGATAGTTTTCTGTGCTCTTCAAGATGATAATCTGTCAACCATTCATTCCCTCAAATAGTTATTGAGTTCAGAATAGCAAATCCCTTTTACTTTCAGCCCATAATTAAAAGTAGCCGGGATGTCAGCGGGTCACCGCTGCCCTCAGAGGCCGAGGTGGGATTCCATGACTTCCGTGGAGGCCAAAACTGGGGCTTCTGCCGGCTCCTGGCCATTCCTTCCTCAGGCCTGACCCCCCACACTGCACCCTGACGGAGACCACACCCCTCAATATCCCTCAAATAATCCACTTTTGCGGACATTTCATGAACCAGGCAAACTTTGCTGAGAGTTTTCCAGGAATGATGAAAGAGACAATACTGGGTCAGTCAACGACTATCAAAGCACAGTAGGCACAACCCACCTCAAAAGACCCCCAGGGCCCTGGCCAGGTGTGGCTCATTGATTGGGCATCCTTAGAGGTCGCTGGTTCAATTCCAGGTTAGGGCACATGCCCGGATTGTGGCTCCCCCAGTAGGGGGCGTGCAGGAGGCAGCCATCAATGTTAATACGCTCACATTGATTTTTTCACTTCTCCCTTCCTCTATCTCTAAAAATCAACAAACTATTAAACACACTAAAAGAGAGCCCCCAGGCCCTGGTACTCTCCTTCCCACTTTCTCCCTTTCCTTCCTCCTCCCTCCTCTCTTCTCCAGGATCAAAGCACAGTCCCTCCCCCTCCGTCAAGCAGACCAGCCGCCTCCTCCTCTGAAGCCTGGCTCAACGCACGGATGAAACAAAGACAGCCTTCTTCCTGAGAGAAATTACCATGAATACAACGTCCTCTGCCTCATTGCACACCAGAGGGCCGGGATCTTTGGAAAGCTCGGTCAGTTCAAACATGGTAAACTGGCTGCCAACTCTCCCAGGACAAGTCTGTCTGTTCCGTCGGCCACTGCCCCCACCAGTACCGGGTCACAGATGGCTCACGCTGCCCAGGATCTGGCCACCTTGGGAAACTCTGGTTTCCAGGGCCACCTCCTCCTGTCCTCCACGACCCTCCCACCCTCACAGGCAAACTGGGCCGCCCCACGCTCTCCTTCCCAGGACATCAGCCAAGGGCCCTGGGAGAGAAGCAGTGTTCTGGTCAGTGAGCCCAGCAGAGGGGGGTGAGGGGGGGGGGGTCTGGCCCCCTGGCAGTCCCCACAGTTCATGGGGGAGGGGCTCAGGGAAGAGCCTTGGCCTCTCAGGGCCCCTGATTTCTCACTGTGGCCTTGCCAAGCCGCCTGCCTAGACAAGAACCAGCCAAGGGCCTGAAGACCCCACTCACGGCTCTTCAGAGCTTTTAGGGGCTACAAGATCTCCTGTGGGCAGACACTTCCCAAAGGCCAGCAGGCAGCGCTGGAAACAGTCCCCAGCTGCTGGGGAGGGGGAAGGGGGAGAGGGGGGCGGGGTCAGGGTGTGGAGGAGGAGGAGGAGGAGGAGGAGGAGGAGGAGGAGGAGGCGGCAGTGCTAGGGGAGGAAAGTGAAGAAGATCGTTCTGGGAAGTCGATCATGATCTTTGATGAGGGGAGGGGAACATGTGGAATCTGGAAAATATTCTGAAACTACATTGCAGGGGTTTTATTTTCTAGCTGGTAAGTAATTGCTTTGACCGTTGGTTCGGTTAATAATAAAGCATGAGGTTTTTATGTTTAGTCATGGGCTTTAGACCCACATGGGTTAGTGATGTACAAGAAGGTTGCAGCCTCTCGGAGTGTTAGAGCTGAGGCGGAGGATGTGGCACAGGCACAGAGCGGTGAGCAAAGTGGCCTGGGGCTGAGGAGAGGTGGAGGGAGGTGGGTGAGCCTCGGCATAGGCAGCAGGTCACGCTGTCGCCGCCCACCCGCCCCCAGAGCCCCAGCCGGCTCCGGCTCACGGTGGCCTGGGGAGCACTGAATGCCTCCCGACCTCCTGGGTGCCCCGCTGTCGCCTCTCAGCACCCCTCAAAGGCCTCCGTCAGCACCTCTATCATTTGAGCGAAGCACTGGCCTCTGCTGCCTCCTCCATCCACAGGTAACATTTAGGTTGGGATCTATGTGGCCACTGTTTCTAGTTGTGCACCATTCTGGAACTTCCTAGAAAGACACATACTCTAGGGTAGGCCAGGAGTGTCTCTGGTTTGGGGCTCCTCCCAGTTTCTGTGTGGCGGCAGAGACAACTCCTTAGGAGAGTCCTTGTCCTTAGGAGGCAGGAGGCTCGGAGGGCAGGCGGGACCAGCAAGGAAATGCCTGAGCCCTCCATCCCACTGAGGCGTGCGGAGACCGCCCGGTCAGCGCCCACGTCTCACCGCCCTGGGTGGTGCCCATGCGCAGTGCGGGCTGGTTCTGGACCCCGGGGCCTGGCAGGCCTTGTGCTCCTCTCCGCCCTGGCTCTTCCCTCCCTGAGCTGCCCCGCTCCGGGCTGACGCCAGGACGTGCTCACAGGGATGGGCGGGGAAGTGCTGTCCGAGCAGGAAGCCCACGAAGGGGCTCAGGGGCTTGCTCAGGGTGTGGCCCGCCCGGTCACCTTGGGAAAGCTCCCTAAGGAGCGGGGATGCAAACTGACGAAGAGTGAGGGCTCCGAGGACAGCGTACCTGCGTGCATCCCATGAGACTCCTCCTGTCCATTTCCTCATCCGCTCGATGGAGCTGAAACAGGTCTACCTCACGGGCTGCTTCGACTTAATCTGATGATCTGACCTACATACAATACATACAACCTGCCGTGCTCACAGGAAGTGCTTAGCAAATCTTTGCTATTTTGCGTGTGCACGCATTCCCACACGCATCTGTAAAAACATGTCCAAAGGCTACAGAGACACACTTCCTGGGGCAGCTGAAGTAAGCGGAACCTGCTTAAATTTGACAAGAGCAGGTGCTGGTGGGGCTGGCGAGCAACGGGAACATTGTGGATAGGGATGTAAAGCGTGCAGCCACTCCGAGCAGTCCGGCCGCCTCCTATGAAGTGAAACACACACTTACCACGCTCACCATGTGAGCCAGCAATCCCGTGCCTAGTTCCTTACTCACAGAAGTGAAAGCACACATCCACACAAAGAAGGCTCACAGCAGTTTTATTTATAATAGCCCAGGTGGTCATCAATAAGTGGACGGACAGACAAATGCCGGGACATCTGCCCGGTGGAATACAACCCGGCAATGAGAAGGGATGCAGTACTGACACACGCGACATCACAAATGAAACTCAAAAGCAGGATGTGAAGGAAAGGAAAGCAGGTGCCTACTGTTGTGTTCCATTTACATGACATTCTGGAAACAGCCAGGCAGCACGGACAGAAAACAGGTATGTGGTTGCCAGGGGCTGGTTAGGGAAGACGGACTACTACCCTCTTTCCCCGAAAATAAGACAGTGTCTTATATTAATTCTTTCTCCCAAAGTTGCGCTAGGTCTTATTTTCAGGGGATGTCTTATCTTTCCATGCGCTAGGTCTTATTTTCAGGGGATGTCTTATCGTTCCATGCGCTAGGTCTTATTTTTGGAGGATGTCTTATTTTCGGGGAAACACGGTAATGGGAAGGAGGGGGCATTTTCGGGTCACAGAAATGCCCTACATTGTTACCGTGGGGCTGGATTCATGAGTGAATGTTGGTCAAAATTCACAGCATGGCTCACATATAAAAGGTAAATTATACCTCAATCACCTGGGAGGGGAGGGAACTGAATAGGAAGGGTATATGAAGGATACTTCTTTGTTCTACTTAAACATTTGTTCTGTGTGAACTTTTATAATGAGCGTGTGACTCGTGCCGTTGGAAATAAGTTTATTGAAGTGTGAAGCGATGGTGAGGACGATGGTGAGGATGGTGATCTACCTGCCTGGCAGGGTCACGGTGAGATCCGAATGAGGTGAGACAAGGTGTGGGGAGGGCGCACACACAGATGCCTCGGATCTTCTAGAGGACAAGGCGAAGGGGCCGAGGGGCCTCCGCAGGAGTGACAGCCATGACTTACCTCAGTGACAAAGAGCGTGCGAGGGTCGATGATATCCAAGAAGTGCCTGAAGCGGCCATAGAAGGATGTCTGGAGAAGGGGGTGGGAGAGGAGAGATCAGCTGCTGTAGCCCAGTGTTTCCCAAACTTTTGACATAGGTGTACCCCTTCTATAATTTTCGTAACGCTGAGTACCCCTCGTACTCATGAGAACGTAGAATTAGGCGCAGCTAAGCACGGTGCAGTGCATATCCCCACCAAACTCTGGTGCAACGCGTACCCCCACCAAACTCTTCCCACACCCCTGGGGGTACGTGTACTACACTTTGGGAAACACTGCTATAGTCCATCCTCCATCCACCGGGGACCCGCCCCCCATACCGCACCCCCACTGTTGGGGCCCACAGTCATGGGAGATGCATACCAATGAGGCCTCCCTGTTCAGTGACCTGAGAGCCGTGTGCCCAGGCTGAGGGCTTTCGAACATCAATTCAGAAAGACCATTAAGGCTCAGTGACTGTCCCAACTTCTCTTTGAGGTGCCTCCCATTTTTCTTCCTTTTCCCTCAGGGCCCTGAGATCCACTCCAAGCCTTTCCGCAGCTCCCACTCCCCACCACTGAGCACAGGGGCTGGAGGTCGGGCCTGGTCCCTGCCCTCTCCAGCCTTCCCTGACCACCACAGCCTCCCAGCCTTGCAAGGGCCTCTCCAGTGAGGGAAGGTCCCTCTCCAAGGTCAAGTTCCCCAGAGGCAGAGCTCCAGCACCTCAGCCCCCTGCGTGCACCCCCACGGAGCTGCTGTGAGGACCAGGACAAGGGGCCGACCCCCTCCAGCCTGGCCCCAGGGCAGGCTCCGTGGAAAAGAAGGGCTTTGTGCAAAGCAGGCCACAGGCATTAGAGCCCAATGAAAGGAAACCCAGCAACCCAGGGACAGAGCCAGCTGGGCAAAGCCAAGCAAGGGAGGGGACAGGGTGCCAAGCTAGGGGACAAAGGGAGAAGCTGCAAACGCCAGGGGTTCATGCCTCACTACACTCCCAAGCTCTGTCCCAGATGCTCCCAGGAGCCCCACAGCCCTCCGGGCACCGTCCTCTGCTCCGCGCAGCGAGGGAGCACACGCCTCTACACGCCTCCCCCTGCTCACCAGGAAACCAGGCCCTGCAGCCAACGTCTGCTCCTTCCCCTTCCCTGTCAGACCCTGTAACAGACGCCGGGTCACCTCCAAGTCCCCTGCACACACCAGGCCCCCCGCAGCCTCCCGCTCTGCTCACCACCCCACCCCGAAGCAGCCTCCACCCCTGCCTTTCACAGATGAAGCTTCACTGCCATTCCTCTAACTCCCACAGTCAAAGGGCTTGAACCGCCGAGCTCACGCTGTTGTCCGGGCAACAGGACCTCCGATAACGGAGTCTAAGGAAACAGGCCGACATCCAGAGGTTCGGCCAGAGGTCCACCGTATGCTGAGGACATTCTCTGTCAAGGTGGACAAGGACTGAACACTATGCCACCATTTGAAAGAGATTGTTTATGGCACAGGACAATGCTTATGACGGTGTGAAATGCATATAAAGAGGATGATTCCAATTAATAGTCAGGGAAATAAGTACGGCCAGAGGATGGTAAGTGATTAGTAAAGAGGCAGAATGACATACAGATTCTGTTTATCACTAAAATGCATCAGGGTCCCTCAGGGAAGTAGCCAGTTCCAGGGCCGGGGCAGGAAAGGTACCAAACATTTTGTTGGGCCAGAAAGTAATAAATGATGGGGGCATGTTAAAAGGACCAAGGAAGGGGAGATGGACACTGTGTGCTCCGGATGTGATACCTTGAGAAGTTCACAGTATCGCTCTCACAGGATTCTGGAAGGACTGAATCTAATCATGAAGAAGCATCAAACAAACCCAAACTGGGGAACATTCCGCAAAATAACTGGCCTTCTTCATCAAATATGACAATGCCATAAAGACAAATCACTGCGCTGGGACTGAGGGACAGCCCACATGACAGGAAACTAAAGCGACAACTAAATGTATCACGTGATTCTTGATTGAACCTTGGACAGGAATGGGGTGGGAATGATATTTTCAAGGGCACTACTGAGACCACTGGCCAAAAAATGTAGGCCATAGATTAATGAAAGTATTTTATCCATATTAATTTACTTAATGTAGTAACTATACTGTGGTTCTGAATGTTTGAGCCCTCCCCCCCATATTCATAAATTAAATCTTAATGTTCAAGATGACGGTTTGAGAGGTGGGGCCTTGGGGAGGCGGTTAGATCTGGGGGCACAGCCCAAAGGAGTGGGATCAGTGCCCTTACAAGAGACCCCAGAGATCTCAGTGAGTGTGGAAGAGGAGGTGGTTGGGACACTTTTTAGGGTCCTTGTGAGAAACCCTGTTTCTTTGTAGCTGTCCTAATGTCTGTCCTCCCAGCCTGATGAATGGCAGAGAAGGTTCCTATGTTCTCAGTCTAATTAATTTTTATTTTCTCAGTAGTTTAAAATGTATGGCTTCCCTCCTATCTCCAGAATTCAGCCCCCTCCCCCGCTTCCTTAGTCAGTAGATGGGTGTTTTTCCTTCCCTTTTTCTTCACCTGAAGAATGAGTCAGCTAAGTGATTCCTTCCAGTTCCTTGCACCAGAAAGGTGAGTCAGCTAATTCTCAGCAGGGCCCGGGGCCTGCAATACAAGCCTTCCCACCCCCGCAGCTGCTGGGAGAGAGCGGGCCTTGGGAGCAGCAGCTGAGGGCCATGGTCTGAGGAGGAACCGCCAGCCCTCCTGTGCCCAGCCCTCTAAATCACTGTGCTTAGGAATAAAATACTGTAGCTCAAAGGCAGAAAAACTGGGCCAGCTCACCAATCCTGGGCCAAGCTGCACACTGAGTCACCTGGTATTCCAAAACCCAGCTCAACATCCAGGAATTCAAATTCTATGGCCGAGGTGGGGGGAGGCAGGATGGGGTGGAGGGCTCCAGGCATCAGGTGAGCCGCGTGCAGCAGGGCTTGAGAGCTACTGGACTAGAAGGTATTGACCCTTCCCACAGCACAACCAGCCCAGGGCCAGCCCCAGGATACAGCCACTAAGTCTGCAGGACAGAAGTTACAACACATAACTACCTACAAGCCATGTCACTGCAGAACTTATTCAGGCAAACTGCATGAGAAACTTCCCCGTGGACCTGACCTCAGCCCGCACAAACCTCCCCACCCCGGAAGGCAGAGGGCGTTTTCCTGCCCAGCAAGCTCCCCCTACCCCAGAGGGAGCCCCGTGCAGCCCATGTGCTCTGCCACCGTAGGCCTCAGGGGATCTCAGAGCCCAGCACACCCCCAACCCCGTTATCTTAGCAGACACTGGTAAGCGAGACTTCTGAAGGACAAGAAGTTTTTTTTAAAAAGCCAACAAACAAAAACCTCGTGTATTTCCAGAGAGACTGAAATACAAATGGGGAAGAGCATGTTTCCTGTCCAGGAGCCCCAACTTGCCCCAAATGGGCCCGACCTGCAGAAAAGAGCAGGTTTGGGAGAGGAAACGAGCAGAAAGGAGGAGGGGGTGGGGGGCACAGTTGGCCTCAGAGCTTCTCAGGTGCTGTCTTGTCATCTTCCCCTCCCCGCGGCCCGCTCCCATTAGGCAATAGGGGGCGGAGGTTAAAAGCATGGCCTCCAAGATTACAAGGAACAACAGGGACCAGAGCATGGTGAGTAAACACCACAGAGATGCCTCCAGTCACATTCAGAGTGTGGGAAAGTCTACAGGACAAACCAGTCAGTTTCTCAACAGATAAGCAAGGGAAACAAAGAGAGGCGGAGAAATAATAGGTTAGAAGGCACATAGCATTCAAATATAATGTGCCGGCCTTCTGGGATCCAAACAAACTTGATTATCTAAAATATGATGTGACCATCAGAGAAATGTGCACAGTGCGATGGACTGATACCGTGTGCTGAAAGCAGCCCGTGTGTTTGAAGGGGTGGGTGGAGCTCAGTGTGAGGAAGACGAGCTGAGCAGCTGTGGGCCATGCCGGTCTTTGGGGCCCCTTCAAAAGTGAGGTCCTCATTTCAGAAGCAGAGGCAGCCACTGGGGGGGGTTCGAGCTTTGGGGGTTTGGGGGGGGAGGGGGAGGGAGCCAGGGAGCCCTTGATCAGATCTGCACTGGGACGCTGCCATGAGGAGAAGAAGGACTGAAAGTGGAAGCAGCGAGACCCGTTAGGAGGCTCAGGAGGGGGGTGCTGGGGCCTGGCCCAGGGTTCCAGCAGCGGAGACCCGTGGATTGGAGAGCTGTTTAAAAATATATTTTATTGATTTTTTACAGAGAGGAAGGGAGAGAGATATAGAAACATCGATCAGAGAGAGTCATCGATCAGCTGCCTCTTGCAAGTCCCCTACTGGGGATGTGCCCGCATTTCGGCATTGAGAGCTGTTTAAGAGAGGGGAACAGAGACCTCCGGCTGCACTTAGAAAGTGAGGGAGTAGCCGAAGCCGGTTTGGCTCAACGGTAGAGCGTCGGTCTGCGGACTGAAGGGTCCCGGGTTCGATTCCGGTCAAGGGCATGTACCTTGGTTGCGGGCACATCCCCGGTGGGGGGTGTGCAGGAGGCAGCTGGTCGATGTTTCTCTCTCATCGATGTTTCTAGTTCTCTATCTCTCTTCCTTCCTCTCTGTAAAAAATCAATAAAATATATTTAAAAAAAAGAAAAAGAAAGAAAGTGAGGGAGTGGAGGGGAAGAACTAGTACACAGTGACCCCAGGTTTTGTAGGAGTCAGTCGGGTGGTGGGCTGAGCAGGGAACGTCTGCGGGGGAAGCCGGGAAGCCGAGCTCTCCCATGCAGGGATCACATGCGCTGTGCAGAGGCAGGTTCCTGTGCCGGAGGAGGAGCCCTTCCTTCCAGAGCAAACACTGGGACTGCCTTGCAGAGGCTTGCCAGGGAGATACTGGCAATGGCTGCCAGGACAGAGGAGATTCTAGTGTGCACGGATGGCTCCAGCAGGGATCACAGCAAAGGGCTCAGTCCTCGGACGGTCTTGACAAGTGTCTGTTGTGTGACTGAATGTCCCAGAACAAGTCCCGGAGAAAAACCATCGCACAGATCTTTATCCCGCACATCACTGTGTGTCTGGCCCTACCTCAGGGTTAGGATGGAGTCAACGGAAGGGCAAAGGTCAGCCGTTTCACTCAAAAAGTGCACACAGGAGTTAAGGAGACCAAGTAATCAGAGCAGCAGGCAGGCTGACTTATAAGGATCCCGCTAGGGGTGGCCAAGGAGGTGGCAGAAAGGAGTGGTACCCTGGGGGAGGAGGGGGGAGGGGTGGGGTGGGGAGGTTGGCGGGTAATGTCACAGGAGGCGGGCCTGGCTAAGCCCTGACCAATGCCTAGGGCCGGGAAAGGGGGAGAGCCAATGAGGGATCACTCACATTCAGGCAGGGGCACCCTACACTGACAGTTCCTGCACTGGCAGGAACACAGTCCCGCCTCAGACACCTACACGCTGTGCTGATTTCTTTTTTAAGGCAATTAAAGCCCTGTTTTGTTTTGTTTTTTAAACAGTGGGGACATTTTCTCAGAAAGCTGACGGACACAGCTCCCTAGTTACTCGCGAGGCTCAATGCACCACCTTTCAAGACCCAGTTTCTCTACCACCACCACCACCAAAATAAATAAGAAAACCGACCTTTGCACATTTCCTTTCTTCCTGCAAGCTTCCTTCTGTCCGCCTCCGCTGCCCCCACCCCACCCTAGGCTCTCACTTCAGCCAAGTCTTTTGCCCTTTTCCTAACAAAGTTCATCTCCTCCGCGTTGCAGACAGCCGGGGGCCCCCCACGCGTGGGGATGGCCTTACCGAGCCGCTAGCCCGGCCTCATCTAGGCTGCGGGTTCGATCCCTGTCTCCGTGGCCGAGGATGAGTTAGCGACGCCCCCACCGGGGGTCCGAGCAGGACGGACAGAGCCACGCGCTCGGCGGCGGCGCTGAGCCCCCCCCCCCCCCGCAGGTGCCCAGACCCTTCGCCGAGGGGGCAGCGAAGGAGGCCGGTGCCTGTTCCCGGGACTGGACCCTCTGCCCCCGGAGATAACACAGCGTTTCCCCCGCACCCAGCTCTCCCCGCCGGCCCTCGCTCCACCCGCCGCAGGGCACCGGCCGGCCAACCCGCCACGCCAGCGAATGGCCGGCTGGAGGGGACCCCTGGGCTCGTGGCCCCGGCCCGCCGCGCACGGCGGACCCGATTGGGGTGCAGGGCTGGGAGCGTGACCCGGGCGCTGCCGCTGCCGGGGGCGCCTCCAGACGCTCGGAAAGGCGGTCAGTCCCCACCCGGGGGAACGGGCAGAGGGCATCTCGGCCAAGGCAACTTCTCCTCCAGGCCGGACTCGAACTTTCCGCCCAGAGTGGGCAGCTGCCTAGCGCAAGGCGACCCTGCAGCAGCAGCCGCTGGCCCCGATGCCCACATCCCCGGCCGCAGCAGCCAATCACAGAGCGTCTCCGCGGGGCAGGGAAGGAGGGCGCGAGCAGCCGCAGAGCGACGGCGACGGTGGCCAATGGGGAGCCGAGGTGGGGGTCCTCGCTCGCCCCGCTGACCAATAGGAAAGGAGTGGCTTTGGCCGAGGTCCCCGGCCAGTCGCTGCAGGCTCCGGGGTAGCCGGGGATCCGAGACCGTGGGGCTAAAGGGGGTTTGGGAAAGGGCTCCGCTGACCGTCCCGGTGCCACCCGCTGACCCTCGGGCCGCAGCCCGGTCCTCACCTGCTGGAAGCGGGGCTTGCCCAGCTGGAAAGGAGGTGCATCGGTCTCGGCGCTGGCGGCACTGGCCGCTGCCGCCGATGCTGTGGTCGCTGTATCCGCCATGGCCACTGACGCCCGCAACCCCGGCCCTTTTAAAATGTCCCTCCTCGGCCCCCGCCGCAGCTCCCTCCCCGGATTGGCCGCGAGCAACCGCAGCGAGTCGGAGGCGCAGAGTGTTGTGGGGAGTGTAGTTTTTCTTGCCAAGACGCTGGACACCCCTGGATTGCGGAGTTGCACCAACGCAGACCGGGATTGGGCTCCCGCTGCCAGTCTGCAGACCCTGCGAGGGTGCGGGTCTCAAGTCCCCACCGAGGGGCCCGCGGAGCGCCCCTCTCTGTTCCCTGCCCCTGGAAGTTTGAGTCGCTGAGGTGGGCGTCACTCCTGGAGCGCATGGGACCCCGGACCTGATGGGCCAGAGGCGGGTTAGGGTTATTCTCCGAAGGCTTTCTGCAGGAGTTGCACTGCGGAATATTCCTGCAGTTCTGCCCCACCCTGCCTCCTGCCCTGTGCTCTATAGCCACCCTGCTAGTCGGTTCCTGGGGCATGCTGTGTGCTCCCCGCCAGACCCTGGGACATTCTGTACCCAGAAAACTATTAACTTTTTATCTCGCCTGATGCTCGCTCTCTCTCTCTCTCTCTCTTTAAATATATTTTTATTGATTTTTTACAGAGAGAGTAAGAGAGTTAGAAACATCAATAGAGAGAAACATAGATCAGCTGCCTCCTGCACACTCCCCACTGGGGATATGCCCGAAACCAAGGCACATGCCCCTGACCGGAATTAATCCCGGATCTATGCTCTAGCTCTGTTAGGGCTGGCTCTCTTTATGGTCTCAGTGTAAACACTGTGTTTCCCAATCTATCAATCTATCTCCCTCAGTGTAAACACTGTGTTTCCCAATCCACAAAACCCACTATAACCCAACGCCTCTCTTTGGCAGCCCTTGCATTTATTTGAGTGTCTTGTCTTTCCTACTGTAAAGTGCACAGGGCAGAAGTTGTGACTTAATTCACTAAGTCCCTGGGGCCAGACGTGAGAGAGCTCACAGTAAGGATTCAAATACAGGGTGTCCCCCAAAATGTATAAAAGCTGACAGCTCACTTGATGTTTTTTTCCGATTTGACCCATTGGAATTAATATACAAAGTGTGTATACATTTTGGGGGAATGCCCATAGTTGTTGGCTTAGTTAAATGCACAGGAGCCTTAGCAGCCTCCACTTTTGCCAAGTAAGATCCCTTCTGGGGCTAATTCCTAGGCAGGAAGAGAACTGGGAGTGGGGAGTGGGGTTCAGTGGGGTCACAAGGGCTTTAGGGAGGGGGAGTACTGCGGATGGTACCAGCAGGGATAAAGAACAGAGAGGGAGGGAAAGGGGGAGCTGCCTGTTTCACACAAGAGTGCAGGAGAAATGTTTAGTTTGACTCTAGGGAACCCCATTTTGGATCTCCTTAGTCTTGTGGTGAGGAGCAGGGTTGGCTCATGCCTTCCCATGTGTTTCTTAACAATGTATGGTCCATAGCTGTCAGTTCATCCTCCAACAGCTGAACCATAGAAACAGATGTTATTGAAAGCTGGAGAGAAATTCCCACTAGCCCTGAAGAACCATTTGTATCTTGGATTTGTATTTTACCTTTCCCTATAAGGCTAAATGGTTTGAGAATAGCAATCAAGTCTTTTATCCTCTGTACTAAGGACCCAGTGCACAAATTTGTGCACATTGAAAGGAACTGTGGGCTGCAAGGCTGCAGTAGGCACAGGGGCGGACTCTGCCCCTTCCACTGTGCCCCCCCTCCAGTCTGACGGCCCTCCCCCGCACTGATGGCGCTGGCCCAGCTCGCACCCACTAAAGGTGCAGAGCAATAGGGACCGGTTTCAGCAGCAGCAGCAGGTGCGAGCAGGGCCAGTGCAGTCAGTGGATGGGAGTGGCGGCTGCCGGCCCCAATCTCCCCTCAGGAGCAGGGGGAGGTAGAGGAGCCCTGAGGGGCAACCACGGATGGCACTGAGTACCCACAGTGGGTGTGAGCAGTGGCTGGCTCCAGCAGCAGGTGCGAGCACCAGGCAGGACTGCGGCATGGGGGAGCAAAGAATTTTCAGTAACCACCCGAGGCTCACCCCTCACAGTGACTGGCGCCCCACCTTGGTCTGGAGCCCCCCTCACCTGCTTCACTATCCCGCCACAGCACACTGTAGAGAGCCGCCTGAGAAGCCACCTGAACATTCTTTTAATTCTATCAGCTGAGCCCGAGGGCACTGGCAGAATCCTGTTATCCGTACTGATTTCTTAATCCATGTGCTTGGAATGAGTAACATATAGGACCTTGACTCACCCAGGTCTTGATATGCTAAATCTTGTATCAAAAAATAAGGAGCTTACCCAGATTTTGATGAATAGGATCTGGGCACACCCGAAACTCCTTTTGACCTTAAACTCCCCTTTGGAAGCCAATAAATATGCTGTGTTGTCTGTGGTGAGTGTGACTGTCTCTCCATCAGAGAGATGGCACCCACCTAGCTCCCAGCTTTATGAATCTATTTCTGCCTCTTGTCTCTTTCTTTCTCTAATTTCTTAATCCCCAGCTCCTCCCCTCAGGAACCTGTCGTTTTTTTCTGTGTGGGACGCGAAAAAAGGAGAAACACCACAGCTGACACCTGCCATGTTCTGCACACACCCTGGTGGTCAGCACACATCACAATGACCAGTTTTTCAGTTGTTCTGCCATTTGGCCTATTTGCATATTAGCCTTTTATTATATAGGATTATATAAGATTCCCCGAAATATTCAATAAATGTATCCTGGGAATGAGAAAAGACTGAGTCCAGGCCGCTGGGCAATGCTGTGCTGCTGCCCTGACGTGAGGACAGTGACTGTTATCCTAGAAGGCCTTCCCCAGGGAGCCTGCTTCACATGCTCATCAAACCAGGAACACAACAGAGCCGCTTGCAGTCTGTGAACTTTTTATTCTTCATAAAGTGCTCGAAACATGAAGAGCAAGGTCTTTATAAACAGGAGTTACAACTAGGAAGACAAACAGCAAAGCAGAACTGTGCCAGCTCCCTGCCCACCCCCCTGCAGCTCTCTTCCAACTCATGGCCCAGAACCTGGGCTTCAACTCCAAACTTCCAGAGACATCCCTGGCCTGGGCATTCTGGAAGTTCACAACCCAAGATGAGTGGAAGGTCAGCCTCAGGGCTGGGACTGATTAGAACCCAGAGGAATACCTAGCAGAGCAGTGACCCTTTTCCCCCAGAAGAGATACCTGTCCAACCTCCAATGACCCGCCCCCTACAAGCAGGACCAAAGTCCTAGGTACCTGTGGACACTTCCCTCAGCCTTGATGAGTGTCTTTAAGGTAAAGAATGTTAAGAGGCTTTCCCCCATACGTGGGGCTCCTCTGCTTTGTCCTGGCAGAAGACATCCCCCATTGAGCCAATCTCCTTCCGAGGCTTTCTGAGTGACCCCAAGTGTGACCCCACAGGCCAGCTCAAGAAAATGAGGCGATCCCCGAGGAGCCCTTACCTCCTCATTGGGTCAAAACTAGCCTCTTTCAGCAACCTCCTCACCCCACAACTTTGCTAAAGCAGGGTGCCCTGAGCCACCAAAGGCCCCCTGCAGATGCCATGGAGAAGCCTGTTTTCTGCAGCCAAACCAGGGCTGGGCCAAAGGACAGACACTTCGTTCAAAGTGCACTGCAGCCAAGCCAGACAAGGCTATGGGGAAGCGACAGGCTGGGTCAACAGGTAGAGGACAGATGGGAAGGCTTTTTCCTAAGTATAGGCAGAGTGGATCTCCTACTTCCAGAATGCAGTTTCCCCCAGGATCCCCCTCAGTTGGTGTTGAGGGGGAAAGAGAAGCCAGCAGATAGGTAACGGGAGCAGCAGCAGGTTGGCCGGACTCTTCACTGAAATTAACTCCAGGGGAGGGCAGAGCAGCAACAGGGCTGCCCCCTCCTCCATTCCGTTCCTAGCACCCTGCCAGACCCAGTCCCTTGCGCTCAGCAGGGAAGGAGAGGGGCGCCAAACAGAGGGCGGGTCTACATCCAGAGGCCCCTGACCCCCCCACAAAAGGCACGTTTTAATCAGTTTCCAAAAGTTCAAATCCTGTAGCAGCACAGCGTTTTGGCATCTGGACAGACAACAAGAACAGGGATAGAGGCTTGATTCCCAAACAAGCAGCCCAAAGCCCCAGGGCCTGGAGGGGCCCACACCATGGAGGTGGTCTCTCCACACCAGCCTGGGCTCTCCACATGTTCACACATGACACTCGGACAGATCGAAGAGGAGGGCAGAGAGTGGCCTGGAGAATGCACATCATCCCCTATCCACACCACATCCGCTCCTCACACAGCTGGAGACACACAGACTCAGGACACGGCAGACAGGACACTAGACCAGCGGTCACCAGCCAGCGGTCCACAGACCCCTGGTGGTCCGTGAGGTCCGAAAGGTGGGCGACCGCTACACCAGACCATACAGGCTCCTCGTTCCCGGGGAACTGACGTGAGGCTGAAGAGCAGGCGCGCTGGTTGCCCATAACGCACAGACCAATGGGCAGGTTGGTCCCTGCCACAGCCCTAGTAATACCAGGGGCTGGAGGAAGATGAGGAAACGGGTGCAGCTGTGGGAGAAATGGCTGACCACCCCTGTGGGGTAATAAAGTATGTCCCGGAAACCACATCAAATTGCAGCTCACCCCTGCTCTGTCCTGAGGGCTAAATTCTTTGTTCTAATTTTGGAACCCTCAAAGCTAAGGGGTAGGAAAATAGGCAAGTGGGTGAGACCCACCTCTAATCGGAGTCCAAAGGCCCTCCTGCCAACAGCCCCAGTTGAGGCAGGAGGGGGGGGGGAGCAAAGGGTGACAGCCGAGGACAGACAGACTGCGCCTGCCCAGGGGAGTGAGTTCAGCGGGAGGAGGGAGGGGAGGGTCCACGCCAGCCCTCCTGGGGGGTGAGGGAGAAGAGGGCTACTTGGGGGGCCCCGGGGGGATCTGCAGCAGCGTGGGTGAGGTCTCCATGATCCGCACCAGCAGCCGGTCGATGTAGCTCTCCAGCTCCTGCACGTGCTCGTCCCGCTGGCTCAGCTCCCGCTCGCGCTGCAGGAGCAGGCCGATGAGCTCGTCGTGCGTCAGGTGGTAGTACTTGGCGGACTGGTCTGGCGCCCCAGGATCCTGAGGTCAGATGGAATGAGAGTGAGCAGGACACCCTCAGGCCTACCTGCCTGACTGACCGCCAACCCCCCAGGCCGCAGAGCTGCCGGTCGCCAATGCCAGATATGGCCCAACTGGCTTCAGGGCTCTGGCACGGGAGGCCAGGCCTGCTCCTTGCTCCACCCCGTTTCTGGATTCCTCTCTCCCAGCACCGCACGTCTGATCTGATCCCCCATCCTGCCAGGCCTCACCTTCGGCTTCTTAGTGTCCACAGTCTGGCCAGCCTGGGAGGCCGGAGCCACGGGCTGAACGCTGCCGGACGTGACTGTCTTGAGCTTCTCCAGCCCGCTGCTCAGGGCTGTGCTCAGACTGGAGCGGGGCTGCTTCCTGTCGGGGCTGCCCTCCACGGAGGCAGCACTGAGCGGCTTCACCGGGTGGGGACTGCGGAGACAGACGGGAGACGCATGATGGGGAGAGATGGGCAGCACAGGAAGGCAGGGCCACAGTACTGCTGGACAGAGACCCACCACTGCTTCCTGTGGTGGCTGCCTGCATAGCGAGGCCTCCGGGCAGCTGTGTCCAACATTCCTCAGCACCTACCCCCTGCCCCTCCCCATGCTACTCCCTCAGAGGGCCCTGCCCTTCCCCGGGAGAGCAGAGGCCTCTCAGACTTCTCTGCGCCAGTTCCCCGTCTTTGCCAGGGCTGCCCCCCTCCACCCATCTTCCCTCCATCCTCTTCTGTGCTGTAACTTTTCTCTGGTTGGGGGAGAGGAGTGTGACCAACCCTCCCAGGCTCCCCGTTTCCTCAGGACTGTGGGGATTCCCAGGAGGTGGAGTTGCCGTGCTAAAACCAGGAAAGAGCCTGGAAAACTGGGACTCTAGGCTGCTGTCCCTCCGCTGGCCGCTTCCCCTCAGCACTTAACACCGCTGTGTGTGTGCCAGGCTACCCCCCCGTCACCACACCCTTCCTCCTCACCGGCCTCTCCAGAGCTTGTAGACTACATTCCGTCTCTAGGCTCTGACCTTCACCGACTCCTCAGCCCAGAGAACAGGACGCCAGCCCCACCAACGCTCCTGCTGAGAACCCGCTTCTCTCCTTCCTGACCTCTCTGTGGCATCGACTCTTGGACCACTCCTTCCTTGGGAACACTCCCTCATTTTCTTTGTCCCATGCCCTTCTCTGCTTTTCCAACTTCTCGGTCCTAAATGCGAGTCTGCCAGGGGTTCTCTCCCCTCCACTCCTCACAGCCGTCTCCAGCCTAGACCTCGGCCGAGTTCTAGGCCCACACAGACAGTTTGGGGCTGAGGTACCCATGTGGGGTCCACCCCAGGCATGCCACTCTTCCTGCCACGCCTGCCCTTTCCTGGGCTCCCAGTGTGAGTGGCACCATCGGCCTCCATGGCTCTGGGAACTCTGACTCCCCGCTTTGGCTTTAGCCGTAACAAACACTAAGCACCTTCTCTCAAGCCACCCGCTCCTCGCCAGGCCAGGACTTACTAAACCTTCCTCCTCTGGCCCCGGCTGCCAAGTCAGCCTCCCTTTCCATCCCCCGCCTCCCCTGCTGGGGAGTCCTGCCCACCTCCAGCCACTCCTCCACTGTGGTGTGGGCCCATGATTTCAGCCCCCTCCCTCCCGGGGCCAGAAAACAGTCTCTAACACAACGGGCCCCTGGCCTTCCCTCCCGCTCCACGCACTCCAGCCAGGACACAGGCTCTCCCTCATCTCTGGGCTCTCACAAAAGCTGTTCCTCCGTCTGGAATGCTGCCCCTTGGCCTGTGGGCCTGCTAACTCCTACTCAGGTTTCAAAGTTGAGCAAGGCCACTTCCTCCAGGAAACCTTCCTGCTTCCCCCGGGCTAAGCTGTCCCTCCTCTGAGCCCCCAGTACCCTGTGCCTGTGAGTTACGCAAATTGCCAGCATCGGGCCCCTAATTCAATTAACCTCCCCCTAGAGCACCTCTTCACATCTATTGATACTTCACAGAGGATCGAACCATTAGGGAGCAGGAGGCAAATGGCTTGGGCCAAGGCCTGGGACCCACTGCAGAAGCGGAGCCCCACAACCTGGGAAGAGGGGCCGAGCCCAGGCAGGGGCAGGCAGCAGGGAAAAGAACATTCTGTCTGTCCTTCCCACCTAGGCGTTTGCATTAGGGAAGGGGTGTAAAGGCAGCTCTACCTCCACCTATGGGCTGTGCTAGGGGCAGGGAGGAATACCGGGGAGGCAGGCAAACACCCTGAATGGGGCCAGGGGTCCTGGGCTCTGAGTCTGATTGCCTTCATGCACCTGAGGGGCCTTGGACCCTGAAGCTCTTATGGACTCTATGTCCCCATCTGAGAAATGGGGACAGTTCTATTTGGCCCATGATGTAAGGAACATGCCAAGTACAGCAGGAAGCCAACTCTGAAGAGAGTGAGACTGGTAAGAAGTGGTGAGTGTACTTGTGCTGCTGGGATACAGCAGGGCCAGCGGGGGGCCCGGGGACGCTGTCCGCCTCTGGAACGGCCTCGCCGAGGGCCTTCCCTTCACTTCCATCTTCCCCGCCGGGTTGGAACTCTTGGTGACATAGCAGGGACAGCCTCTTTCATCCCTGTCAGGTGTGTGACACGCTGGATGCTCAGTGAATTGGAGGACTGAATGCAGGAGCCAGGGCTGGGCCTCCCAGAGGCCGGTGCTGGAGCTGGCCCTGCTTCCCAAACCCCTCCCTTCTCCGCTCACCAGAGGCAGCAGCACCTCTGTTCCCCTCACTGCCCCCCGCAGGCCTCCCGGAGCGCTGGCACGCCTCTAGACTTTCCTGCCCCTGCCGAATCACACCGTCACCTCGTGACCTGGGCACTCCTCGTTAACCACCCGGTGAGGTCACAGCCTCACAATTCTTCCAAAACAGCCCAATGCCACAATGACCAGACACACAGGCAACCACTGTCAGCTCCGTACAGTCCTGGCGCCTGGGGACCACCCTGAAGGCACAGCCACAAATCAGTGCAGCACCTGATGAGGCTAGAGACCCTTTCTGCTGAGGTCAAATCTATGGGACGCATTTCTTTTTCCTTTTCCTCCTCAACGGTGTCTCCGGTTTCCTCTCCGACCCCATACCAGCCCGTCCTGTGGCCTCTGGCTCTCTGCCTTCCACAGCCTCCCACCCTGGGCCTGGGGCAGATGATGGGAGGGCCTGGGGCAGATGATGGGAGGGACGGGGGCATCTGACACGCTACACTGCCCACCCCCCAGTCCCTAGTTGCTGAGGGCCCTCCCTCTCCTCTCCCATTCCCTGCCCATCTGCAATACCTGCCCACCCACTCCTCAGCCCCTGCACTTCATCAGTGTTGTCATTCCCAGAGTCCTGGCTCGAGGGGGCACCTGCAGGTCCAAGGTCCAAAACAGAGGCAGTTTCAGAGCCGGCACCACGGCAAACTAACGTCTTCAAAGCCTGCCTCGTCATGCCTGGTTAACAAGCCCCACCCAGGAGGGACGGAGGCCCCTGCAGGCTGATTGCGCCCTTCTCCCCCTTCCTCCTGGAGACTGGCCGCTCACCTGTCACTGGGCTGTGGTTCCTCAGCTGGTCGTGTCTCCAAGGGCAGAAGCGCAAGCGGGGAGGCTGGGGTGCCTGCAGCGTGGTCCTCCCCAAGTGGGGCAGGGGAGCCCCCAGGCGGGGAGGCGGGCTCCCCGGGGGACAGGGAGGAAGAGGTCGGGGGCCAGGCTCCAGGCAAAGGAGAGCATGGAGAACTGGGCCCCCCGTGGCAGTGGCTGGCCCTGGGCGGGAGAGGGGGCGGTGGGAAGGTGGGCTCTGGGGGTGTGGGCAGCTCTTCCGGTCCAGAGTGGATGGATGACTCCCTGGACTCTGGAGGGGATGCGGATGGGAGGCTGGGGGGATCTCGGCTCTCCTGAGACAAGAAGGGGTTCAAGGTATCCTCCTCCAAAGCCCACAAGTCAGGCTGGGGGGAGCTGCCCGGCGGGGGCCCAAGCCCCTCTCCTGCTGGTCCCTGGCTCTGGGCCTCAGGAGCCTCAGGGCCTTGTTCTCTCTCCAGCGCCCCCCAGGCCTGCTGGCTCTGAAGAGCCAGGCTCTCTGAGTGAGAGGGCATGGGGGCAGGACCCTCAGGGCTGCTGGTGGGCAGAGATAAAGACACAGGCGGGCTGGCGTCCTCCACTGGCTCCTCCAGGCTTGGCTCACCCAGCAGGGTTCCGGAGGAACAGCTGTCGGACTCGGACCCTGGCTTCTGGCCGTCCTCCTTGACCTCCTGGGAACCGGCAGCCAGCTCACTTGGGAAGGCATCTCCTTCTCCCGTCTCTGCCCCCCTGCCACTCGGCCCGGTGGGAGTCGCCCCCTCCCCGTCCGCTGCTGCGGGCATGAAGAGGCGGGGCGGCTTGGGAGGCAGCATGCTGGGCGGCAGCCCCCGGTCCAGCATCCACTCGCGTTTGGGCTCTGGCTCCAGCTCCCGTTGGGGGAGCCCCTGGTTCCCCTTGGGGCTCACAGGCTCTGGCGACTCCGGCTTCACGGGGGGAGGCGGCAGCCCGTCGGACTCTCCCCCTGTGAGTGGCGAGGACGTCTCGGCGCCAGGAGAAAGGGTGACCACATCCCACGGCCAGGAATCGTCGACCGTGCTGAGCTCCTGCAAAAGCTGGCCTTTGCCTCGAGAAGCCTCCTCACGCTGGCCCTCAGGGGCATCGTCCGGGCCCGGCAGCCTCTCCCACGCACCGATCACTTCCGGGGAGCTGAACAGAGAGGAACTGTCCGCTGGACTCTGCCCCGCTTCCCCTCCTGGGGCCGTCAGCTCCCTGTCTGCTTCCGAGTCCGAGGCTCGCGGGCGCAGCACGGCTGACGCGGAGGGCAGGCCGGCCTCTGCGGACCCCGGGGGCTCCGGGGCGGCAGCACTCAAACTCCGGCGGTCCAGTCCCAAGTCCAGAGGAGCCCTGGGCTCCAGCCCCTCGCTGCTCCCACCTCTTCCTCCTCCCCCGGGGCCCCCTGGGGGCTCAGCTGCCTTCACTGTCATGGCCCCAGGGCCTGGGTCTTGCAGCCCCACTCCTGCAGGGGCCAGGGCCTCACTCCTGGCCTCTGGACACAGCCTGCTGGCAGCAAAGGCGTTGAAGGTGTCTTCCCACTCAGGCAGGGCTTTCCCAGGGGAGGCCAGGGGGGTGGGGCCGGCCCTCGAGGCCCTGGGGAGAGAGGGAGCAGGTGAAGGAAAGTTTAGTGCTTTGTCGGCTAGGAGCTCCTCGAAGAAAGGGTTGCTCTGCAAGGAGGTGAGGAACGGATTGGTGAGACCCAAGAATCCAGGTGGGGTAGCTTCAAGGGCAGCGGTGGCGGCAGCTGCAGCGGGGGAGGCGGCTGCAAAAAGGTTAGTGCTTAGCATGGGAGCAGCGGTGGGAGCAGGAGTGGGGGGGGCCGGAGCACAGGGGGAGCGGGGGAGGTGGTGAGGAAGAGCAGCTGGGTCAGGTTCTACCTGAGGA